CCCCACCTCAGCCCAAGACTAACATATGGGTCACCCTGGCAAACTTGACTAAACAGGAGGCTATTTGCCTGTCATTATGTTCTCCTGGCAATCCATTCACAACTTGTTTGGTTGGATTGCCAGCAGATCCCTGGCCATGCCCTGCACATGTACCAACTTGTAAGGTCAGTAATGCTAGGACGAGTGTGGATAATTGGGATCAGTGGATTTCCCACTTTCCTATAGCACCACAAGACCCCAAGAGTTGGAGTTGTTAGGGTCAGTGATGGCAGATGCATGCATTCATTTTAACTATAGAAGCCTGCTGTCAGTCAAGAACCATTCTAATGTTGTAACCTCCAGCATGGCTGTCTACTGAAATGCATCGGCCTGGTGCAATTATACAACCAAGAGAGTGTCAGTCTCATCAAATGACCCTATTCAATTGCCAGCAGGATACTTCCTGATATGTGGGGACCGTGCTTGGGCTGGTATCCCATCAATGCTGCACGGGGGACCATGTACACTTGGACGGCTGTCTCTACTTACACCTAACACGTCCATGATACTGAACATGAGCCGCCGCCATCGTAGGAGCAAACGAATGGCTCATGCATTTGCAGCAGACTGCCGGGATGATGTAAAGTTTTGGTCCCCAGCGGCCATAGTTGCAGCATCTTTCTTAACTCCAGGGGTATCAGCAGCAGGTGCTCATGCTATTTTAAACAAGTTAGGATGTTGGCTTGCTAAACAAACAAATGCAACTTCTTTGGCAATTTCTAGTCTTTTGCTTGATGTAGATTCTATTCGCCATGCGACACTTCAAAATAGAGCTGCAATTGATTTTCTTTTACTTGCACAAGGCCATGGTTGTGATGAATTTGAGGGCATGTGTTGCATGAATCTTTCTGATCATGCACAGTCTGTTCACTCACAGCTCTCTGAGTTGCGGAGGTTAACTGGGAACTTACAGGTAGAATCAGGCCTTGGTATTGATGGATGGCTCAAATCTTTAAACTTAGGATCATGGTTACATTCTATTGTTAAGGTTAGCATTGTAGTAGCTATTGTAGCTTTGTTGTTAGTATTAGTCTTGCCTTGTTTTTGTATATGCTTGCAGAATATGGTGCGAAAGATGATAACTACCGCATTTAATCAAACCATGCTTGTTCAACAGAAAAACGGGGGAAATGTAGAGAGCTTTTTGGATAATTGGTTAGCTGAGAAAGGACATTTCGATGCGATACCGATGGATAAGGATAGGGGAAACAAGCTGGGAATTATGTAACCAGTGTCCAATCACTGACAAAGGTCATAGTGACCTTCGCTGAAACGGGAAGACGGGGGAGAAAATTGCTTGCCAGAAAATGTAGATATCCTAGGTAGAGAAGCTAGAAGAATGCAAACATAGAAACAAAATAATCATTAGAAGATAGAAGTAGGCATGGTTGATCTAAGTGTGCTTTAACCAATAATGAGCTCAGCTTTTGCAATATGTATAAGCTTCATTAACACCAATATAAATAGGTGTGAGTTTTCAATAAACTTGGGGATTTGTCGTCCACGCATATTGTGTGCTGCAATTCCTCCGCCGTTCACGACACCTATTTTTCCGGGTTATACTACCAACGTACGGCGAGTTCTGCAGACCCATCAGCGACACTCCAGAGTTCTGCTGATGAGGATCCCTTCAAGACAATCGTGAGTCACGGGGTCGTGTGAGAGTCTGTCCGAATTTTCCCTCATCTGCCTCACAATCGTCACTGGGGGACCACTGAAGAGAAGACCCCCCCTGTCTTAAATCTCTGGCTCCAAAGGAGAAAGTCATGTGCCAGAGACCTGAGAGCGTTGCCAAGCCATTGTTTGCACAGGTGCTGTTTGCTGTATGCTACACTGAGCCCAATGAGAAGAAGAAGGGGGCACCGTGCCCTTTGTGCAACAACAGCCTTGGGAGCTGTCCCACCTCTCGGCCTGGCTGGACTTCTCCTGAGTTCTGGGTGGTCCCCCCACAGAAGACCCTCACCTGTTTTACAACCACCGTGACAGACAGACTGAGATGTAAGGAGCCTCTCCATCAAGGACTGAGACATGAAACCCCCATGTGAAAAGGCCCCTCTGCTCCTTCCAAGGACTGGCACTGAAACCCCCAGCCCGGGGCAGGTGTGTGGGGGAGGCAAGCTGACCAAAGCGAGATGTTTGCCTGCAGGTTGTGACCGCTGGACCAAGAACACAATGGCTCTCGTTTACTGCTGAGAACATGGACTACCTGTTACATCTATTCCTTATTGTATCTGTTTCCCCCCTCCCCAGAAATTTCCAATAGAGTTATCATAATAAAAACCTCTGAGTTAGCGAGAGAGACTTCGAGATCTCCCCGACGTAACAGGCGGATCCTCGACTGGACTGGACCAAAGGACTTCCTCTCTACGTTTGGTAGCTCTATCCCCCTCTTTCTCTCTCTCTCTCTCTCTTTTGTCTCTCTCTTCCTCTATCTTTTTCTCTCCCTTAATCCCTCTATCACATTTTGCTGTGGTCATTCAATAAAGGTGCATTTGTTTCGATTATCATTGCAAACCCCCTTGTACCGTGTCGGTTCTTTTTGCACCCTGAGATCAAATCCACGAACCATCACAAAACCCGTCCGTGAGGACGGATCATGACACCCCCTGAGGACCCCTCCCCAAATTCCCCCCCAAAGCCCCCACAGCACCCCCAGACCCCGCTAAATCCCCCTCAAGTTCCCCCCAGATCCTCCCCAAATGCCCCCCAAACGTCCTCAAGACTCCTCCCCAAATTCCCCTCACGACCCCTCCAGGACCCCTCACCTGTTCCTGCGCCTCCTCAGCAGCTCCCGGAGCCCCCCGTCCTCTCCCAGCGCCTCCCCCACTCTCTCCAGCGCCTCCCGCAAGACCCGCCCGAGCCCGGGGCAGCTCCCGGGGGTCCCTGAGGAGGTCCAGGGGGCGCCGGGCGGGGGGAGAGGGCGCCCGCTCCATGCCTGGGCCCGGGGTCAGGGGGCGCCGCTTCAGGCGCGGCTCTGATTGGCTGGAGCGGGCGCGGGGGGGGCGGGAGTTGGTGAGGGGAGACGTCCGGTGATTGGTTGGTTTCGTAGAGGGCGGGGTGATTGACAGGAGAGGGCTGGGGGAGGCGGGCTTTGGCGAGGGGAGACGCACGATGATTGGTTGGTTTAGCTCAAAAGAGGCGGGAGTAGCTGAGGGGAGACCTGCGGTGATTGGTTGGTTCGGCATGTGAGAGGCGGGTGTGTCTGAGGGGAGGCGTGCAGTGATTGGTTGGATAGGCACATGGGGAGGCCGGTGTTCCTGAGAGGAGACTCGCGGTGATTGGTTGGTTTGGGGCGGGATGCGCCATGATTCGTTAATTAGGGAGATGAAGTGCGGTGATTAGATGTTTGGGGCCGGGGCACGCCGCTATTGGCTGGAAAAATTCCGGGATTTTAATGGGAACATTTCCAGGTTTTTGGAGAAAAACTCTCAGATTTTTATGGAAAAATTCCCATATTTTTGCAGGAGAAACATTCCCGGATTTTTTGACCCCACATGACCCCAAATAACCCAAAAAACCCCAAAGCACTCGAAATAAACCCCAAATAACCCCTAAAAAACCCAAACAATACTGAAAAGTCCCCTAAATAAGCCCAAACAAATCCAAATAACCCCATAAAAACAAAAAAAATCCCAAAAAAACCCCTAAAACCCCACATGATTTCAATTACACCTAAAAAAATGCCATATACACCAAGATAAACCCAAAGAACCTCAAATAATTCTAAATAAGCCCAAATAAACACAAATACTTTCAAATAAACCCAAAAATCTCCAAATAAACCCAAATAAACAGAAATAAACCAAGTAAAGCCTAAGATAAACCCCATAGTTTATAATAGTCCATAAACAGTCCATAAATAGCCCCAAATAAACCCCAAACAAACCCTAAATAAACCCAAAAGAAACCCCAAGTAACCCCAGTTCCTCCTCTCCCCACCCCAAAACAGATCCCGACCAATCAGAATGCGCGGCACTGATGACGATCCACTCACTGGGCAGAAACTCAGAGCACTGGCCGCGCTTAGCGATTTTCAGCCAATCAGCGCCCGGCCCGACTCTGACTCATCAGTTGCCAGGCACAGACCAAGGCCTCTCACTGCGGTAAATAATCAAAAACCTCGCGGGGTAATTTCCAGCCAATCAGAGCGTGTCTCGCTGATGACTCATCAATTGCCAGGAGTGCAATTTGGGGAGGGGGGAAGGTGACCCTGGGGATGGGCTGGGGACCCCAAATTAATGCAAAACGGGGTCGGGACCCCAAAACGGAGCAGGAGGGGCCTGGAGCCCCCAAAACCAAACACGGGGGAGGGGACTGGGGGAATGATCTGAAATGGGGGGGAGGGAGGGTGGAGAAAAGACAGGGATGGGACCCCAGAATTGAGCTGGGAGGATGGGACCCCAAATCGCGGTGGGAGGGGGGTGGGACCCCTAAAGTAAGCTGGGAGGGGTATGGGATCCAAAAACTGAGCTGGGAGGGGGATGGGACACCCCAAATTGAGCTGGGAGGGGGGTGGGACCTCCAAAAGGGATGAAGGCAATTTTGTTCCTGGAATATGTAAATGAGTTTATGGATATGCATTAGGGTCTATGAATATGCAACAGGCTGATGACATGGGAGACCAGGACCATCGAGCAAAGATTGTTATGGCCACCAAGATGCCCCAGTTATTTTTGGGGACAGCTCTTAATTAATCTGGTTTTAATTCCATCAGCCTGTTGCATATTCTTAGAGCCTTATGCATATCCATTACCTAATTTACATATTTCAGGAACTATTTTACATGGCCCGTCCTTGGGGGTCTCCCCATTTCAGGAGCCTCCACTGAAATGGAAAATGTAAACCCGCTCCCTTTGAAAAAAAAAATTATTATTATTATTATTATTATTATTATTATTATTAATAAACAACTATAAAAATTCGAATTAATTTTGAAATTAAGGGGCTCTCAGGCAACGATATGGGAGTAGAAATACAGTTCTTTATTAGGAAAAATTGAAAATACAAATGCAGTAGTACAAACAAAAAAAATGAGTGAGAGAGTCAGAATCCTCTGGGAATCCAGAGGGAAAAGGGCAGATCCTCTGGGAATCCAGGGGGAAAAAGGCTGATCCTTTGGGAATCCATTTCTTACCCCCCAAAGACAGGACAAAAGCAGGGCAGTAGAGTTTTTATAGAGTATCCCAAGGGCAGAGTTGGGGTTTGGGTCAGGGGAGGAGCTCTTAGCTAAACAAGAAGGGTGAGATCAAATTCCTGCCTCTTAGTAACAGCAGCACTCCACACAGAATGTGTCCCTAAATCCTGAATTCCCTCTAAAACAACTGAGAAATTATGGAACTTCAGATATATTCGATCAATTTCCTTCATTTAACCCAGTTTGGGGGTGTTTTTAAAGAATGAAGGTGAAGCAGAGGAAAATAAGGGCCAAACCAAAAGGAGAAGCAGCCACGTGTGTTCCCAACATAGATCACAGGGAATGTGAGTGACCAGGGCTGTGCCCAAAGTGCCTCCTCCAGTGGGGGATGGAGCTGGAGCAGCGCACGAAGCTCTGCCCGCACTCAGGGCACTCGCGGGGCTTCCCTTACCGGTGCCTCCGTTGGTGTTGGGTCAAGTGAGAGCTCCTGGAGAAGCTCTTCCCACACTGGGGACACTCGTAGGGCCTCTCCCCTGTGTGGATGCGCCGGTGCTTGAACAGGGTGGAGTTGCGCTTGAATCCCTTCCCACAGTCGGGGCATTGGAAGGGCCTCTCCTCTGTGTGAATCTGATAGTGCTGAAGGAGATAGGAGCTGGTCTGAAACCTCCTCCTGCATTTATCACACTCGTAGGGCCTCTCCCCTGTGTGGATGCGCCGGTGCCTGGCGAGGGTGGAGTTGCATGTGAATCCCTTCCCGCAGTCAGGACACTGGAAGGGCCTCTCCTCTGTGTGAATCCGATAGTGCCGAAGGAGATAGGAGCTGGTCTGAAACCTCTTCCTGCATTTATCACACTCGTAGGGCCGTTCCCCAGTGTGGATGCGCTGATGAGTGATGAGGTTGGAGTTGTACTTGAATCCCTTCCCACAGTCAGGGCATTGGAAGAGCCACTCCTCTGTGTGAATCCAATAGTGCTGGAGGAGATGGGAGCTGGTCTTAAACCTCTTCCCACACTTGGAACACTCATAGGGCCTCTCCCCAGTGTGGGTCCTCTGGTGCTTGATCAGGCTGGAGCTATGGCTGAAGCACATCCCACACTCTGAACACTTGTACGGCCTTTCTCCAGTGTGGATCCTCTGGTGGCTGATGAGGATGGAGTTGCACCTAAAGCTCTTCCCACACTCCCCACACTCGTAGGGCCTCTCCCCAGTGTGGGTCCTCTGGTGCCTTATCAGGTGGGAGCTCTCTCTGAAGCTCTTCCCGCACTCCCCACACTCGTAGGGCTTCTCCCCAGTGTGGGTCCTCTGGTGCATGATCAGGCTGGAGCTGCACCTGAAGCTCTTCCCACACTCCCCACACTCGTAGGGCTTCTCCCCAGTGTGGGTCCTCTGGTGCCTTATCAGGTGGGAGCTCATGGTGAAGCTCTTCCCACAGTCCCCACACTCGTAGGGCCGTTCCCCAGTGTGGGTCCTCTGGTGCTTCCTCAGGCTGGAGCTCTCTCTGAAGCTCTTCCTGCACTCCCCACACTTGTAGGGCTTCTCTCCAGTGTGGGTCCTCTGGTGCCTGATCAGGTGGGAGCTCATGGTGAAGCTCTTCCCACACTCCCCACACTCGTAGGGCTTCTCCCCAGTGTGGGTCCTCTGGTGCCTGATCAGGTGGGAGCTCCGGCTGAAGCTCTTCCCACACTCCCCACACTCGTAGGGCCTCTCCCCAGTGTGGGTCCTCTGGTGCACAATCAGGTCACAGTTCCACCTGAAGCTCTTCCCACACTCCACGCATGTGTGGGGCTTCTCCCCATCATGGAGCTGCTCATGGAGCACCAGCTCCGAGCTCTGGCTCCATCTCCGGCTGCCTTCCCGGCCCAGGCTGGCTCTTTCCCCCTCCCATCCCCGCCATCTGCGTTTGCAGCCCCTCCTCGTGCGGCAGCTCCGGGGCTTTTCCTCCCCGTTGGCTTCCTGCGCCGTGGAGCCGCTCAAAACGGCCTCTGCCACCAGGTTCTGCCGCGGGCATTTGTCCTCCCTGCTCTCCATGCTCAGCTCCTGCTCTGGGGGAGGAAGGACAAGGACAGGATGGGAGTTGCCTCCGTGCCACAGGCAAGGGCAAGGAGATCCCCCCAGGGCTGAGCTGCAGCCAGGGGCCGTGCTGGGCTGGGAGATGGAGCAGCACAGAGGGGAAAGGGGCACTCATTGCCAGCTCGGGGCAGTGCACAAATCACAAAAAGGACTGGACTGCTAGGAACGTGTCCTGAGCTGTTTTATTTCCCAGCATCAGCCTCATTACTTGGTTATGACAATGGTAAGTTGCCAGTAGCTCACATCACAGGTAGCAGACAAAGAACTTCGTGTTCAAACTTACTTTAAAAGGTTTTTGACCAATCACACAAAGCAAAGGCATACTGACAGTAGTTCTATCCAAGCACTATAAGCACATTGACGGTTAAGACAATGCTCCCTTATTTCAAATACAATACCTGCTTGTAAGCCTTAAAACACAATGCACAGAGCTCCATTATTAAGCTTGGAACTTCCTAATATCCTGCTAGATATACTTTTCTGCAGGTTAGGGAGTTATTCTAGATAAGTGTTAATGCACAGACCATTGTTCTATTTCTCCCTACTTTCTAATTCTTATATAATTTTTCTTCTAACCAATCTTATGGCTGCAGCAAAGCTCTAATCAGTTCTACTGTCTCTGAGGCTTGTCTTTTGCAGCTTTCCCAAAACCCTCTGATTTTAAGCATTCCAGAGACACTGACTTCCTCCTCACCTGCCTCAGTGTCCCAGGGCATCTTCCTCTTCCTCGCAGCCTCCCAGGAGTTGGCAATGGGAAATCCTAATGTGGGGAAAACAAGGGATGAGCACATTGAATTTGAAGGTCCCTCTGCCCGACTCCATCTCTACAAGTCACCGGCCATCTGGGCTCCCGAAAAACCTCCCAAACACCAAGACTCAGCCCTGAAAAAGCCTCCCAGGAGTTCCCCGTCCCTGGTCCCTCCCCTCTGGTGTTCAGGGGTTCCCCCCTGTCCCAGCTGCTGGGGTCACGCTTGGATTGGGGGTCCCCCTTCTCCTCGGTGCCTGCCCTGCCCAAGCTGCTGGCAGTCCCAGCAATGCCAAAAGCTCCCCCCGCTTCGCTCTCCCCATTTCGGGATGCCGGGGCTCTTTGGGCTCCCGGGCTCCCTTCTCCCCTCATTCTCTGCTCTGGGCTGCAGCGGCTCCAAGGAGTCCCCCCTGCCCCTCTCCAGGCCCTTGAGGCTCCCGCCAATGGCGGCGCTCCCCCCTCTCTGGGCTCCCCACTTTGGGCTCCTGGGGCACACAGGGCTCTGCTCCTCCAGGCTGCCTCTGCCGGCAGCCGCCACCGCCACCCCCCAATGTCCCCCCAAGGGGCCTTTTCCGCTCAGCCTTGGACTTCTTCATTCTCCAAACATCCCCCCAAAAACCCAACCCAGGGACCCCCCGGGATATCCGGGCCCAGCTCCCCCTCCCCACTCACCGGAGCCATGGGGGGGGCGATGATCCCACAGGTGGGGGCTGCGAATTCAGGCAGGGATGGACGGCCTGGCTCCCTCAGCTCAGCCTCCATCCGCCTTTGTCCCTCCTGTTCCTCTTCCTTCAGCTCCTCCTCCTCCATTCCCCCTCCCTCCTCCTCCTCCTCCTCCTCTGTCTTATCTCCCCCTCCTTCTCCTCTTCCATCCCTGCCCTTCCCTGCCTCCTCCTCCTCCCCCATCAGCAGCCACACCCTCGGTGCCCCGTTCCCGCAGCCCTCGCAGCCCGTGGCAGCAGCGGCGATGGAGCCAGGACAGGTCGGGATGGGCAGCGCGGGGCTCTCGGCTGCTCCCAGCCGCTGCGGGCGGGCCAAAGGAGAGGCAAACTGGGCAAACTGGGGGCACATCACAAAGCTAAGGATGCAGCAGAAAATGGAGCTGAAAGACTTATGTTAATATTAACTCCAAACCAGGAAAAACTGCAAATTCCAAAGGTTATGGAATACGAGAAAAAAGAATTAAACAAGACTGGAAGTGAACAAGATAAGTCAGGGAAATGGAAACTTCTTGATGGAAGACAATTATTTAATAAAATGTGCTTACTAGGAAAATATTAGAAGACATGCATCAGAAAACCCACTGGGATAATCAAGCTTTGTGTGATCATTTTTTAAGGAACTATGGGTGCACTGGGATTTTCGGAGTAGCAAAGCAAGTTACTGAAAGATGCTTAAATTGCAAAGGATAAATAAAAAGGTGATGAGAAAAACAACATCAGGAGGTCGTGAGTTAGCTTGTCGACCTTTTCAAAGTATCCAAGCAGAAGTTTAGATTTATAAGGTTCTAGATTTATTTGTAAAAAAAAATATTTAATCAAGAAGAAAGAGAATATGCCATATGTTAGACAAGAGATTTTAGGAGAATAAAAATCTTTAAAGTATCAGCAACACCCGAGACAAAACAGGAAAAGAAAAAGGGGAAATGAAAGGGAGGGGAACAAGAGGAAAAATCAGAAAGAGAGTGGGATCCTTTGCAGGCCTTGCCCCGTCCGTTCGCGGCCGAGGCGCCTGTCCCGGGTCCCGGCTCGCTGCCCGCCTCAGCTCCGCCTGCCCCGGTTTCCATCCCAGGTGCGGGCTCACTGCCCAGGGCAGCTCCACCTGCCCCGGCGCTGGCGGTGAATTTGTGTGCCCTGCTCCCACTGCCCGGCCCGCGGCCGCTCTGCCGGCCATGCTGGGGAAGATGGGGGTTGCTCTGTCCTGCCGCGTGGGCCGAGGTCACCGCGCCGACCGCACCGAGGCCGGGTCCCAGCCATCCCATCCCCGGCTGCCCTGCCCGTGCCAGCTGCGCTGGGCACCGCCGCTGCTGCTGCCGGGGTCTCCCACCTGCCTTTTCTCTGCCGGGAGCTGCCGGATCAGCCGCCATAAGCCATGTGGGGGCTGCCCACGCTCCGGCTCGGCCTCCACGGGAAGATCCCCCTCTGGCGATTCCGGCAGCAGATCCTGCCCACACTCCCACCGAGCCTCGGCGGGATATCCTCCCCTGACCCCACTCCTGCTCTGAGTTACGTCCCCTTAGTAACCACAGCTCCGGCTGTTCAGGGAAACTCTCTTTCTCTCTACAGGAAGCACCTTATCGAAACACGAGGAGCTCAGTTAAAAGGCAGCACTCTCCAAATTCTTTCCCAAAACACGGGAGAAAGGCTATAGAAGGTAAAAAAGTGAAAGAGTTAGATGAAGGGATTGCTCTATTTCCCTTAAGAGAGGTTCCCATGGCAGGGATGTGCTGCCCTGCCCCGCGGGAGCCACCAGCGCCCCTGCCGGCCGTGCCCGGAACTGCACCCAAGGGGAAAGCGCCGCAGCCGAAAGGCCGGGACTGGCTCCGGGCTCTGTTTGTTGGCACTGCCGGAGCTGGTGTTCTTTGTTTGCTTTATTATACACCCTAGTAAAGAACTGGTATTCCTATTCCCTTATCTTTGCCTGAGAGCCCTTGATTTCACTAGTCTAAAACTTAAGAGGGAGGGGCTTTGCATTCTCCATTCCAAGAGAGGCTTTTTCTGCCTTCCCAAGCAGACACCTGTCTTGTAAAGCAGGACAAACACCCACAGGCACTGAGGGGGGCTGCAGGAGGGGCAGAAGAAGGCCCTGCAGCACTTGGGCACAAAGGCCCAGCAGGTGAATGCAAGAAGGGAGCAGCAAAAGGCCAAGCTGAAGGCAAAGGCCAGGGCAGAGTTCCTACAGCCCCTGAGGGATCAACCCCAGGGCCCAAGGGGGCCCCAGCACCCAGGGCACGGGCTCGGCCACAAGCACCCGGCAGAGGCATTGCCCTCCTCGGCAGGGGACAGCCCACCCAAACAGCCCCTGGCAAGGAATCAGGGCTCCAGCTGCAGGGCACAAGGACACTGCAAGCACAGACAGCAGCACCCTCAGGACCAGCAAGTCCACCCCTTGATGGACATGGATTGGCAGCGCTGTCACAGCTCCCATCACACCAGGGACCCTCCACACTGGAGCCCTTGAGAACATTCAGGTGGGTCTGCATTGAGAGGAGGCCTCTCCTGATGGACACAGGGGCCTCTCAATGCACTCTGAATCTTAGACCTAAGGGGGAAAAATGCAAAAAATTTGTTTGATTAGTGAGGGGATAAGTGGGAAAGATGCATGGTTTTATTCAACCACTATTAGTAGATCTGGGAGATGGATTGGAAATCCATGAATTTTTATTTGCTCCTAATTGTTATCATGATTTACTGGGAAGGGATTTGATTGCTAAACATGGAATGCAAATTAATATTATAAAAGGTGATACAGAGGCCAGTTCTGTTCTACCTCTGTGTCAAATGTCTGGCCAGGCCTATGCTGAAGTGAACCCAGAAGTGTGGGCAGCCACGGGAAAATAGGGAAAATTAGATATGGAGCCTCTACAAATTACTTCAAAGCAACCAGGACAAGCAATACCCTGTTCCAGGGGAGGGAAGGAAGGGCTCACAGCCTGGTATTGAGTCCCTGTAGAAGGCAGGGCTTTTGGAGCCAGGGGTGTCTCCCTGTAACACTCCTATCCTGACAGTCAACAAACTGGATGTATGGACAGGAGGAGGAAACACAGAATTTTCAAGTGTTAAAATGAAGATTACGTGAGGCCGCTGCCCTGGCCCTTCCAGACAGGGTAAAAGAATCTGAATTATAGGTGGATGTTAAACAGGGTCTTGCCAAAGGAATTCTTGTGCTAAAATGTTTAACCCAGTGGCCAGAGAGCAGCCTCATTGTCTGCAGAATTCTGCAGCCATAGCTTTCATGGGAGCTGAGGCCTGAAATCTGATGACAACAGGAGGATCTCCTGGAGTTCAAGTCTGGCAGCAAGTTAAAGCTTTGACAACCAAAAGAGCCTCTAAATGGATGG